CACGGGACACTGCAGGGGGGGCACAGGACACTCTACAGAGTGGACACAGGATGCTGTGGAGGGGGGGGCACAGGACACTGTGCAGGGAGGACATATGGCACCATGCCGGGGGCACATAGGACACTATGCAGGGGGGACATGGGGCGCTGTGCAGGGGGAGACGTGGTGCCTATGAGGGGAGGGAACATGGGTGCCATGCAAGAGAGGTATAGGGGCCATGCAGGAGGGACATGGGGCACCGTGTAGGGGGTCATGGGATGCTGTACAGGGGGGACACTTGTGGCCCCTGCCCCGTGTGGGACAGGCTGACCCTGCAGCAGGTCCCGTTGCTCCGCACATCCCCRTGTGGTGAGGAAGAGGAGGGCGATGCTGTGCGTGGGGTGCAGCGCGGAGCCCCCAGGCTGCCTCGAGGCCCGCGGCGCAGCCCGCGCAGCAGGTCCCCGTGTCCCCCGCCACCCTCACGTCCCCCGTCCCCTGGGCAGGCTGAGAAGAAGGCCAAGGTGATCGCTGTGATGAACGTGGTGGAGGAGCCGCCGCGGGCCGAGGCGCAGAAGGAGGAGGAGGCCAGCCCGCCGGCCTCGCAGCAGCCCACCGACCCCGCGTCGCCCACCGTGGCCACCACGCCGGAGCCCGTGGTGCCCGACGCCGTCGACAAGGGCACCTCCAAGTCTGCCGACGACGAGCCCGAGTACGAGGTGAGCGCCGGGCATCGCTGCCCGCGGGCACCGGACACCCCGCGTTGCCATCCCCGCTGCAGCGGGACCCCCCCTGACGCTGCCGCGTCCCCCTAGGACGGCCGAGGCTTCGGCATCGGCGAGCTGGTGTGGGGCAAGCTGCGCGGCTTCTCCTGGTGGCCCGGGCGCATCGTGTCCTGGTGGATGACGGGCCGGAGCCGGGCGGCCGAGGGCACCCGCTGGGTCATGTGGTTCGGCGACGGCAAGTTCTCCGTGGTGAGCGGCGCCGCCGGGACGCGGGAGGGCTGGCGTGTGGAGGGACCCTGGAGCAGCACCCCGTCCGAGCCGCCGCGGCAGCGGGGCCACCGGGAGCGCGGTGCGTGGGGCCCGTCCAGCAGGGCCTGGGTGGCTCCCAAGGGTGCAGGGAGACGCCACAAGCTGCTCTGGGGCTCGTGTTCACTGAGCCCAAGGCTTGGCCATCACCGCAGCCTCCTGGCTGCCCAGTGMAGCCTCGAACACGGTGTCCCCTCCSGGCCCTCTCCTGCATCCATCTGTCCCCATTTCCCTTTGTCCACCCCSCTTGGAGAAGTGGGATCTGCCCCCTTGGAGAAGTGGGGTCCGTCCCGGTTCCCTCCCCGCYAAAGCCGTGCTCTCACGGCTGCCCGCACCCCCGGTCGCCGCAGGTCTGCGTGGAGAAGCTGCTGCCGCTCAGCTCCTTCGCCAGCGCCTTCCACCAGGCCACCTACAACAAGCAGCCCATGTACCGCAAGGCCATCTACGAGGTGCTGCAGGTGAGAGGCRGCGGGGACACGGGGACGGGGACAGCGGGGTGGCCGCGGTGGTGACGGGGACAGTGGGGCGGCCATGGTGGTGACACAGTGACGGTGACAGCGGGGCGGCTGCGGTGGTGACACAGTGACGGTGACAGCGGAGCGGCTGCGGTGGTGACACAGTGACGGGGAGAGTGGGGTGACCATGGTGGTGACACAGTGACGGTGACAGCGGGGCGGCTGCGGTGGTGACACGGTGACGGGTGACAGTGGGGTGGCCGCGGTGGTGACACAGTGACGGTGACAGCAGGGTGGCCGCGTTGGTGACGCGGTGATGGTGACAGTGGGGTGAGCACGGTGGTGACGCAGTGATGGTGACAGCGGGGCGGCCGCGGTGGTGATGAGGTGATGGTGACAGTGGGGTGAGCACGGTGGTGACGGGGTGATGGTGACAGTGGGGTGGCCATGGTGGTGACGCGGTGATGGTGACAGTGGGGTGACCATGGTGGTGACGGGGTGATGGTGACAGTGGGGTGGCCATGGTGGTGATGCGGTGATGGTGACAGTGGGGTGGCCACGGTGGTGACGCGGTGATGGTGACAGTGGGGTGGCCGCGGTGGTGATGCGGTGATGGTGACAGCGGGGTGACCATGGTGGTGATGCGGTGATGGTGACAGTGGGGTGACCATGGTGGTGACGCGGTGATGGTGACAGTGGGGTGACCATGGTGGTGACGCGGTGATGGTGACAGTGGGGTGGCCATGGTGGTGATGCGGTGATGGTGACAGTGGGGTGACCATGGTAGTGACGTGGTGATGGTGACAGTGGGGTGACCATGGTGGTGACGCGGTGATGGTGACAGCGGGGTGGCCACGGTGGTGACGCGGTGATGGTGACAGTGGGGTGACCATGGTGGTGATGCGGTGATGGTGACAGCGGGGCGGCCGCGGTGGTGACGCGGTGATGGTGACAGTGGGGTGACCATGGTGGTGATGCGGTGATGGTGACAGCAGGGCGGCCGCGGTGGTGACGCGGTGATGGTGACAGTGGGGTGACCATGGTGGTGACGCGGTGATGGTGACAGCAGGGCGGCCGCGGTGGTGACGCGGTGATGGTGACAGTGGGGTGAGCACGGTGGTGACGCGGTGATGGTGACAGTGGGGTGACCATGGTGGTGACGTGGTGATGGTGACAGTGGGGTGGCCGCGGTGGTGATGCGGTGATGGTGACAGTGGGGTGACCATGGTAGTGACGTGGTGATGGTGACAGTGGGGTGACCATGGTGGTGACGTGGTGATGGTGACAGTGGGGTGGCCGCGGTGGTGACGCGGTGATGGTGACAGTGGGGTGGCCGCGGTGGTGACGCGGCGCCCGGCCGCCCTTGCAGGTGGCCAGCAGCCGCGCGGGGAAGATCTTCCCCGCGTGCCCCGAGAACGACGAGACGGACACCTCCAAGGTGGTGGAGATCCAGAACAAGCAGATGATCGAGTGGGCGCTCGGCGGCTTCCAGCCCTCCGGCCCCAAGGGGCTGGAGCCCCCCGAGGGTCAGTGGCCGGGAGGGACGCGCCCCTCACGCTTGGGTGGCCGCAGGGGACACGGCGGAGCCGCCTGGGCTCCCCGTGGCCTCGGGGACCATGTGCGGCTCCAGGCCTGCAAGCAGCCACGTGGCACCGGTTCCTGGCACCAGCTCCTGGCACCGGCTCCTTAGTGGCCTTGGAGACCCACCAGCATCTGCCCGGGTGGAGAGGTGGCCATGGGGCTGCATCCCTAGTCCCAGACATTTCCTTGATGCCAAGCACTGCAAGCCCCTGGGCAGGTGTCCACCTCTGCAAACTGCCCCTGGGGGGAGTGTCCAGCTTTGCAAACCACCCTTGGGGGTTCCAGCCTTTGCAAATATCCCCCTGAGGAGTGCCCACCTTTGCAAATGTCCCCCAGGGGGGTGCCCACCTCTGCAAACTGCCCCTGGGGGGTGCCCACCTTTGCAGATGTCCCCCTGGAGTTGCCCACCTTTGCAAACCACCCCCGGGGGCAGTGCCCACCTTTGCAAGCTGACCCCCCCGCGGGGGGCACTTTGCAGAGGAGCGCAATCCCTACAAAGAAGTTTACACGGAGATGTGGGTCGAGCCCGAGGCGGCCGCCTACGCCCCGCCGCCGCCAGCCAAAAAGCCCCGCAAAAGCACAACGGAGAAGCCCAAGGTCAAGGAGATCATCGACGAGCGCACCCGAGGTAGCCGCRGGGCCCGCGCCGGGGCGCCGGGGGGGCCGGGGGGCTCCCGCCGCCCTGACCGGCCCCCCGCTCTCCTCCCCAGAGCGGCTGGTCTACGAGGTGCGGCAGAAGTGCAGGAACATCGAAGGTGCGCGCGGAGCGGCGCCRGCATGCGCTGGCGCAGGGGTGCTCGGCACGGAGCGGGGCTGCAGAGAGGGGGGCACAGTGGGATGTGGAGTGGGTGTCGTGGGGAAGCGGTGGGGATGCCGTGGGGGAGATGGTAGGGATGCGGTGGGGATGAAGAGGGGTGCAGTGGGGAGAGTGGCGGGGATGGGGGGGGTGTTGAGGGATGCAGCGGGTATAGGGTAGGCATGCAGTGGGGAGAGTGGTGGGATGCAGTGGGGGCTACGGYGGGGATGCAGTAAGGATGTGGTGGGGATGAAGCAAGGTGCAGTGAGGATAGTGGTGGGGATGCAGTGGGGGGTACAGTGGGGATACAATAGAAATGCAGTGGTGGAACAGGCTGCCCAGAGAGGTTGTGGAGTCTTCTTTGGAGATCTTCAAAATCCACTTGGACACAGGCGGTGCCCCGTGCCCTAGGTGACCCTGCGTGAGCAGGGGTTGGACTAGATGACCTCTGAGGTCCCTTCCAACGTTGAGCATTCTGGGATTCTGTGATGGGGATGCAGGGGGGGTGCAGTGGGGGGTATGGTGAGGATGCAGTGGGTGATGCAGTAAGGATGCAGTGGGGATTAAGGTGGCACAGTGCACGTCCTGCGGGACTGCCGAGCGCGGGGGCGCGTGGCTGGGCGGGATGAAGCCGCTCGCAGAGCCGCCGCCGTGACCTGTGCCTCCTGCCCCCGCAGACATCTGCATCTCGTGCGGGAGCCTCAACGTGACCCTGGAGCATCCCCTCTTCATCGGGGGCATGTGCCAAAACTGCAAGGTGCGCGGGGGGCCGGGCTGCGGCCGCTGGGGACGGCATGGGGACGCTGGGGACAGCGCGGTGCGGGGACATTGGGGACAGCGCGGCACAGGGATGCTGGGGACAGCACGGCACGGGGACCCCGCGCTCACGCGCGCCCCATGTCCCCCCAGAACTGCTTCCTGGAGTGCGCCTACCAGTACGACGACGACGGCTACCAGTCCTACTGCACCATCTGCTGCGGCGGCCGCGAGGTGCTCATGTGCGGCAACAACAACTGCTGCAGGTGGGGGTCCCCGTCCCCCCCSGGCGGGCACACGGTACCTGCGGGTCCAGGGGGCTGCAAGGGCACGGGGCTGCATCGCGGGAGCCACCCCGTGCCCAGCACACCACTGGGACACCGCTGGGGCGGATGGCACCGTGTCCCCCCGTTGTGCCGCCCGCAGGTGCTTCTGCGTGGAGTGCGTGGACCTGCTGGTGGGGCCGGGGGCAGCGCAGGCGGCCATCAAGGAGGACCCCTGGAACTGCTACATGTGCGGCCATAAGGGCATCTACGGGCTGCTGCGGCGGCGCGAGGACTGGCCCTCCCGCCTCCAGATGTTCTTCGCCAACAACCACGACCAGGAATTCGTGAGTGTCGCCGGCGCGCGTGCCCGGCGCGGCCCGCTGGGGTCTCACGGGCGCTGCCTCCCCGCAGGACCCGCCCAAGGTTTACCCGCCCGTGCCGGCCGAGAAGAGGAAGCCCATCCGTGTGCTCTCGCTCTTCGATGGCATCGCCACAGGTGCCTCCTCGCGCCGCGGGCACCGGCGAGCGGGACAGGGGCTCTGTGCCTGGGGGGCTGACAGTGTGCCCAGCTGCGGGCCTGGGGCCACCAAGCTGGCATGCACCTGGGGTCACCAACCTGGGGTGCACCTGGGGTCACCAACTTGGGATGCATTTGGGGCCACCAACCTGGGATGTACCTGGGGCTACCAACCTGGGATACACCTGGGGTCACCAAGCTGGCATGCACCTGGGGCCACTGACCTGGGATGCATTTGGGGTCACCCACCCAAGGGTGCACCTGGGGCTACCAACCTGGGATTCCCCTTGGGGCTGCCAACTTGGGATACACCTGGGGCTAACAACCTGGGATGCATTTGCGGCTTCCAACCCAGGATGCACCTGAGGCCACCAACCTGCAATGCATTTGGGGCCACCAACGGGGGATGCATTTGGGGCCMCCAATCCGGGATGCACGTGGGGCCACTAATTCGCAATGCACTTGGAGCCACTGACCTGGGATGCATTTGGGATCACCCACCCAAGGACGCACCTGGGGCCACCAGCCCGGGATGTATTTGGGGTCACTCACTTGGGGTGCACCTGCRGCCATCAACCCGCAACTTGGGGCCACCAACCCGGGATGCATTTGAGGTCGCCCACCCAGGATGCACCTGAGGCTACCGACAACGGGATGCATCTGGGGCCACCAACTTAAAATGGACCTGGGGCCACCTCCCCGAGAGGGGACCATCCCGTGTCCCCACTGACGCCCCTGCACCCCCCCGCAGGCTTGCTGGTGCTGAAGGACCTGGGCATCCAGGTGGACCGCTACATCGCCTCCGAGGTGTGCGAGGACTCCATCACCGTGGGCATGGTGAGGCACCAGGGCAAGATCATGTACGTCGGGGATGTCCGCAACGTCACCCAGAAACACGTAGGTGCTGCCGGCCGGCCCCGCGCCCGCAGGGACAGCCGTCCGTGTGCAYGGGGGACGGACACGTCCCACCCCCRGGCTGCCTCGTGCCCCATGGGACCCGTGCCCCGCGTTGCGCCCCTGCGAGCCGTGCATTGTCCCCCACAATGACCTCCGTGTTGCACCCCCACTATGAGCTGTGCATTGCCCCCCGCAACGATCCCCACATTGCACCSCCAYRAGCCCTGCATTGCCCCCYACAATGACRCYCATTTTGCACCGCCATGAGCCCTGCATTGCCCCCCACAATGACRCYCATTTTGCACCGCCATGAGCCCTGCATTGCCCCCCACAATGACACCCATTTTGCACCGCCATGAGCCCTGCATTGCCCCCCACAATGACRCYCATTTTGCACCGCCATGAGCCCTGCATTGCCCCCCACAATGACACCCATTTTGCACCGCCATGAGCCCTGCATTGCCCCCCACAATGACACCCATTTTGCACCGCCATGAGCCCTGCATTGCCCCCCACAAAAACCTGCGCTTTGCCCCCCCCTGTCTCCCCCACATTGCACCCCCCACAGTCTGTGCATTGCCCCCCCCGCCATGATTCATGCATTGCACTCGATGCATTGCACAAGCTCTCATTGCTCTCCCATCAGGAGCCCCACATTGCATTCCCTGCGTTGCCTAAGCCCATGGTGCACCCATGCATCACGAGACCCACGTTGCATCCGCCACGYTGCACCCCCCCGCATCGCACAAGTGCACATTGTTCATCCAGCGTTGCATTCCTGCAATGCATGAGCCCGGGTTGCTCCTCTATGTCACCAGCCCCACATTGCACCCCCTATGTTGCATCCCTCTTATTGCACAAGCCCATGTTTCTCCCCCAGCATTGCATTCCCTGCGTTGCATGAGCCCAGGTTGCTCCCCTGCATCAGTCACCCCCCAGACCCCACGATGCATGAGCCCGGGTTGCACAAGCCCACATTGCACCCCCGCATTGCGAGCCCGCGCTGCATCCCCTCCCTTGCACCCACCACGTTGCACCCCCTGCCCGGCTCATCCTGCCGTGCTCTGCGCTGCAGATACAGGAGTGGGGCCCCTTCGACCTGGTGATCGGCGGGAGCCCCTGCAACGACCTCTCCATCGTGAACCCGGCCCGCAAGGGGCTCTACGGTAGGTGGAGGCCGCGGGGGGGCCGGGGGCTCGCGGCCGCGCGCTGAGCCCCGCTCCGCTCCCGCGCAGAGGGCACCGGGCGCCTCTTCTTCGAGTTCTACCGCCTGCTGCACGAAGCGCGGCCCAAGGAGGGCGACGACCGGCCCTTCTTCTGGCTCTTCGAGAACGTCGTGGCCATGGGCGTCAGCGACAAGAGGGACATCTCGCGCTTCCTCGAGGTGAGCCCACGCTGCCTGTGCTGGCCCCGTCGRGCCCGAGCCCGCTGCAGCGGGCACGTGTGCCCTGCAGCCCCTGCAGAGCATGCCAGCTGGGGCATGCAACCCGCCAGAGTATGCAACCTGTGGTGTGCAACTCACTCCCTAAGCATGCAAACCTGGAGCGTGCAACCCTCCCAGAGCATGCAGACCTGCAGCGTACAACCCTTTGGAGCATGCAAACCAGAGCATGCAACCAGCCTAGAGCATGCAGGCTGGGGCGTGCAACCCCCTGAGTGTGCAAACTGGGGCATGCAACGCTGTCAAGAGAATGCAACCCCCTGCGCATGCAAACTGGGGTGTGCAACCTCCTCAAGAGAGTGCAACCCCCTGAGCATGCAA